GTGTCTCCAGTGACCAAGTCACCGGTGTCTCCAGTGACCAAGTCACCGGTGTCTCCAGTGACCAAGTCACCGGTGTCTCCAGTGACCAAGTCACCACTGTCTCCAGTGACCAAGTCACCACTGTCTCCAGTGACCAAGTCACCACTGTCTCCAGTCACCACTGTCTCCAGTGACCAAGTCACCAGTGTCTCCAGTGACCAAGTCACCAGTGTCTCCAGTGACCAAGCCAATGGTGTCTCAAGTAACCAAGTCACCGGTGTCTCCAGTGACCAAGTCACCACTGTCTCCAGTGACCAAGTCACCGGTGTCTCCATTGACCAAGTCACCGGTGTCTCCAGTGACCAAGTCACCGGTGTCTCCAGTGACCAAGTCACCGGTGTCTCCAGTGACCAAGTCACCGGTGCCTCCAGTGACCAAGTCACCGGTGTCTCCATTGACCAAGTCACCACTGTCTCCAGTGACCAAGTCACCGGTGTCTCCAGTGACCAAGTCACCGGTGTCTCCAGTGACCAAGTCACCGCTGTCTCCAGTGACCAAGTCACCACTGTCTCCAGTGACCAAGTCACCACTGTCTCCAGTGACCAAGTCACCGGTGTCTCCATTGACCAAGTCACCGGTGTCTCCATTGACCAAGTCACCGGTGTCTCCAGTGACCAAGCTGGCAGAATGTCGACGAAACTTTCTGGGTAAGACCATTGTTTTTACATAGCAGTGACCCGATGAATTTTGCAAATATAGGATACCGAGTAGTATACAGAAGCTCTCTTATCCTTTTCACCACTGTGGACCATAATGGACTCTTCCAGATCAATGTATGGCAGAGTTTACTAAAGTTACATAGGGGTGAAAGGGTTAAGGTTAAGCATGGCCAATAACAAAAGAATAGAAGCAACTACTGACTCCAGGTTTCCATAACTGTATTGATACTTTAAGCTTCCACTCGCACAAATATCAATACAAAGTCCTGGACACAGGAGATGCTTCTCTTTCCTTTCATTATTTACTGATACCAAAAATAGGAGCATTTTTTTGAAAACGATTTCCAAACATTAATTTCTGAAAACATATCAAAAACTGTACATACTCTTTCCATGCCCTCTCTGCTGTTGTCTCAAAATCAACAATAACTTATAACACATTCTAAAATTAATGTTTGGGTCCTTAAATGACAGGTAACAAGAGGCCTAATGGGCCTGAATCACTCACCTGGTATTAATCTTATACTTGCAATCTTAAAAGTGTACTTACATACAGCTACAGGCAAAATACCAGTGTTTGATTCGAAAGAATTTATAAAAAGATTTAAACATGTGACACATTTGACCTTAAAAATCAAACAAGGACATTGATTGAATGATTGATTGATTGATTGATAGGTTTTACGTCCGTTTCACTGCCGAGTAGTTCAGTTATCCAGCAGACGAAGAAAAGGCGGGAAAATGAGTAGAAGGGATAAAGTATGGAGTGAAGGGATAGAAGAGGGAGACAGAGGAGAGAAGGAGCCGTCTGACATTTATGTATTTACTGTATAAGTCTAGTTTTTGTAAGACGGCTCCTAGGCCTAATGTTGCTTATCCTAACACTGGTCGTATAGCAGCACCAAGTCTGGACAGGAAGTGAGGTAGAAAGCCGCCAACATTAACACCGGCTCCTAACTATTCTAAGAATTTGACTTGTATATATAATTTTGAAGTCCTTCTTAATGTCTTAATAAAGAGACCCTAGTTCTAACGGCCGAAAATTTGGAATAAAGCTTACACTATCCTCTGTATCGGCGTTTACGCACCTACTCTTTTTCGTTCGAGATTGGACAGTTCTCAAACGGGCCACCATTTGTAGTCCCGTCCGTCCGTCTAAAAGGCCTGGGATGATATTTGGGCAGTAGCATGCTGGAATAAAGGACTACCGAGTTTGTCCAAATGAATGACCTTTGTCGAGTTTCAAGATCACATGGGTTAAATATGTTTAAAACCTTTTAACAACTTCNCACAGAATCCACTTTATATTGTACATGTACACTACATCTGTGTGGTAATGTGGCCAGGTCTCTATTATATAGCTGTTGTGAAGGTTAGAAAACCAGAATCCGCTTTATATTGTACATGTACATCACATCTGTGTGGTAATGTGAACCTGACTCTATTATATAGCTGTTGTGAAGGCTAGAAATACATACAAATGAAATATTATATATAAACTCTATGTCTTTAACATTCTAAAGAATAGTTGGAACCTAAATATTGTATCTCTTAGGTCTCAGCTGATGGTGTGAGAATGTGTTTATGATGTAACTACACATGGACGATGAAAAGGATTCATATTTACTGAATATCATTGTACTGAGTGAATATGAAGTATAGCTATAAGCTAGGGGATTAATCAGAAGGATTAAACATTTATTTACTTGCATGACTGATGAAGGTAAGTGAACCTTGAGCAGAATTTGCATGAACTGATCTGCAGATAATTTACTTTACATGGGATTAATTTTCCTCAACAGTCCATGCATATGCAACAAGTAAATTCATTTTCACTGCCTTATTCTATTGATGCATCTGATGATATAACGCCAGGACCACAATACTTATCATTAATATGTAAAAAAAACAAGAGGCCCATGGGCCTTAACGGTCACCTGAGTCTACAGTATTTATTTTTGTTGTTGAAATATGTACCAATTTGAGTAAAAAATAGTATAATGTTAACTTAACTTTGTCAGGACCATGAGCTGATCATTCCTATACCAATTTTAAGTGAGATCGGCCTATTAGAACTTAGTAGCAAAATAGCGGCCATGGCAGCCAAATTNAGACAATATTTTCTCTGTTTTTGGCACAATATTTTTCTAAATTGTCCACTTACGGTCTTCCTTTGGTATTGCGTCTAGTATACCCTGGAACCAGGAGTCTCTGGCCTATAACATAGAAACAATGTTTATCAATATTGCCTATGCGCACAATCACAAATCTATAAATGATCAAAATTTGAACAACGTATATGTATTAACATAACATCAAAAAATTGTTATGATACAGGGATGGTATTGTCCTCCCCTCTACATCGAAGGATGAATTGTGAGTTGTTTCCTCACTTGTGAATTGTGATATTTTGTGGGACCAAAATGAGAATTTTTTATTTTTCTTTCCATCAGAGTTTACCTTCCATGCAAAAGCCAGGGTTATATCAATTTTATCAATTGAGAAGAGTGAGAAAAGTTTACAATACTCAATCAATACTTCAAGATAATCCCTAAGGATTCCTGTCCCACTGCAGGCAAAACACTAGAGAGTTCCACTGCAGGCAAAACACTAGAGAGTTCCACTGTAGTGTTCATACACACAGTTACCTCCCCTAATTTCGTTGTGGGTTTAACTTAGTGGGTGGGAACAGGAACCTGCCCCTGATCAGGTAGCTATGATGGTTACAGCTACAGTATTGTGACTGTGTCAGATTTACTATCATTGTAGATTAATACCAGGACACTGCCCCTGATCAGGTAGCTACGATCGTTACAGCTACAGTATTGTGAATGTGCCAGATTTACTATCATTGTAGATTAATACCAGAACACTGCCCCTGATCAGGTAGCTACGATGGTTACAGCTACAGTATTGTGACTGTGCCAGATTTACTATCATTGTAGATTAATACCAGAACACTGCCCCTGATCAGGTAGCTACGATGGTTACAGCTACAGTATTGTGACTGTGTCAGATTTACTATCATTGTAGATTAATACCAGAACACTGCCCCTGATCAGGTAGCTACGATGGTTACAGCTACAGTATTGTGACTGTGTCAGATTTACTATCATTGTAGATTAATACCAGAACACTGCCCCTGATCAGGTAGCTACGATGGTTACAGCTACAGTATTGTGACTGTGTCAGATTTACTATCATTGTAGATTAATACCAGAACACTGCCCCTGATCAGGTAGCTACGATGGTTACAGCTACAGTATTGTGACTGTGTCAGATTTACTATCATTGTAGATTAATACCAGAACACTGCCCCTGATCAGGTAGCTACGATGGTTACAGCTACAGTATTGTGACTGTGTCAGATTTACTATCATTGTAGATTAATACCAGAACACTGCCCCTGATCAGGTAGCTACGATGGTTACAGCTACAGTATTGTGACTGTGTCAGATTTACTATCATTGTAGATTAATACCAGAACACTGCCCCTGATCAGGTAGCTACGATGGTTACAGCTACAGTATTGTGACTGTGTCAGATTTACTATCATTGTAGATTAATACCAGAACACTGCCCCTGATCAGGTAGCTACGATGGTTACAGCTACAGTATTGTGACTGTGTCAGATTTACTATCATTGTAGATTAATACCAGAACACTGCCCCTGATCAGGTAGCTACGATGGTTACAGCTACAGTATTGTGACTGTGTCAGATTTACTATCATTGTAGATTAATACCAGAACACTGCCCCTGATCAGGTAGCTACGATGGTTACAGCTACAGTATTGTGACTGTGTCAGATTTACTATCATTGTAGATTAATACCAGAACACTGCCCCTGATCAGGTAGCTACGATGGTTACAGCTACAGTATTGTGACTGTGTCAGATTTACTATCATTGTAGATTAATACCAGAACACTGCCCCTGATCAGGTAGCTACGATGGTTACAGCTACAGTATTGTGACTGTGTCAGATTTACTATCATTGTAGATTAATACCAGAACACTGCCCCTGATCAGGTAGCTACGATGGTTACAGCTACAGTATTGTGACTGTGTCAGATTTACTATCATTGTAGATTAATACCAGAACACTGCCCCTGATCAGGTAGCTACGATGGTTACAGCTACAGTATTGTGACTGTGCCAGATTTACTATCATTGTAGATTAATACCAGAACACTGCCCCTGATCAGGTAGCTACGATGGTTACAGCTACAGTATTGTGACTGTGCCAGATTTACTATCATTGTAGATTAATACCAGAACACTGCCCCTGATCAGGTAGCTACGATGGTTACAGCTACAGTATTGTGACTGTGTCAGATTTACTATCATTGTAGATTAATACCAGAACACTGCCCCTGATCAGGTAGCTACCATGGTTACAGCTACAGTATTGTGACTGTTCCAGATTTACTATCATTGTAGATCAATACCAGGACACTGCCCCTGATCAGGTAGCTACGATGGTTACAGCTACAGTATTGTGACTGTGCCAGATTTACTATCATTGTAGATTAATACCAGGACACTGCCCCTGGTTATTGTCTGCCTCGGTCGTTTTTATTTTTACCATTATTACATTAAAGTTCCTCAAGGTATGTTTCTTCTCAAAAATAATTCAATAAACCGATCCTTATGTTTGATCATTGTTTAGGCACAGTGGTAGAGGGATCCTTAAAGAATTGTACAGACATTTGTTTATAAAACAGACCTGCAGAAACTTGATGCGGAGCTCGGCCTCGGTAAAGACGTCCATCCTGCGGAGGTAGCCTATGACACGGAGACAGGCCGGGAGCTGGACATTAGTTCTCAGCTGCTGTATCAACTGGTTCAGCATGAGCTGAGCCGAGTTCTTCACCTCTGATACTATGTTCTGTAAAGTATAGGATATGGAAATAATATTGGTTCATGTATATACCGGTATATCTATATACATTTATAATTATTATATAAAAGTAATATCAGTTCATGTATATAGTACTGGTATATCTATATACATTTATAAGAAGAAAAAAGTAAAATCCTTCATGCATAACATTTGATTCTGTCTATTACTTCATGAATAACAATTCCTTTTTGAAAGAAAAAAAGCACTGGCAATTTCTAGAAGGGTTTTCTTCTACATTGCTGCTCTTTCAATTTTATTTTATCAGGCATACAAACATATTACACAAAAGGAGACACTGACAAGCATACATTTTACCAAGAGCTACCTAAATATCTAACTGTGGTCCAACACGGGTTGTGGGGATCAACCCTGTGCCTACCAGCAAACCAGGGTTCAAAATGACAAAACTGCTGTGAAATTGTCTGGCCCTCATGGCTAGGGGCCAGTTATAAATAACATTTGAGTTTGTCTAAACTTAAATAAAAAATAATTTCTGACACTTTTCAACCCTTCATAAATAATAGATGAAAAGTAATTTGGGGTTCTGTCATGACCTTCTGAGGAATAGGAAAAACTGTCCATATGTCTGTACTGTAATAGTATACATGGAACCCACCAGAAGTACTGTTTCCCGAGGGAAACAGTGGGTCCCAACTCCGAGGGAAAATGGTTTTGACTGTTGACTGATAAGGCATGAAACAACAGTTTTGTTACTTAACAATGAAAAAACAAAAAGTTCCATGTTGAATGTGATGTTTAGATCTACCGACAGACGACCGTCAACAATCCAGTACCAAAAACGCTTGATCATCGGGGTGCTTGTAATTATAGGTGCGTTCGATTACCTAACACGTGACCAGTCAACAGTTTCACGTGACCAGTCAACAGCTTTACGGAAGCACACATTAGCTATAGTTCGTTGTCTAGGGAAACAGTCGAAATACATTGATATGAATTTATTTATAGCGAGTCAGGTATACTTACAGCAATAACAGGTATGTTGGCATGTTTTTTCTCGAGTCGCTTGACATGTGCGGCCAGTTCCAGTGCCTCCTCATAGTAACTGTTCCTCACACACGTGTCCATCAGCTGTGGCATTTCTAGGATCTCCAACAGCTGGGTGTGACGCTGGAGGGTCAGTGTGTTCATCCGCCGGCTACAATACAAGTGGGCAGATATTACATAAGGGATATACCAGGCAACTTTGTGTGTAAACATCCCACACCTACACTACGACTCAATGTCAGGTCATATACAACACAACAGTGCATTAAATCTCTATAATAATGTTAATTTATTGCCCTATTTCAAATTGACATTTTTCAACAGTTAACATATATGTATTAATTGTCCCACGTATGATTGAATCAGTGTACATTGTATTTAATGCAGTCAACATGAGCATGTTGGCAGATTCTCAATAATAGAAATTGATTCCCTGGTTTATAGTACATACAAAGTCAAACCTGTATTGAGAGACCACCCTTGGAAAGTCCAAAATGTCGTCTTTTAACACAGGTACAATGAAATCACTACAATAGGGAACATTATACAAACTTGCCAACCCTCCCTATTTTGGCGGGAGACTATTCTTATATTCAGAGATCTAATAATTTCATCTGAAAGAATAACTCAAAAGATGACATTCTTATGTTATATCTTACCTATGGGGTATATACACACCTTTTATATATGTTTTTAATTTTGAGCATGCAGAATCTCCCCCATGGGATCTCAAAAGGTTGGCAAGTATTATTATACTATAATACTGACATTTTGCTATGGATCACCTATATATTGAAAAAATCAAAATGTTAGAAAGGATATTATATTTTCCTTAGGTACTGTTTTGGGCGAATATGTTAGCCTTCCAAATCGTCTTGTGTGGGTGTGTTCAGTCAACCATAAACGTGTGTGCACACTTTTCCACGTGTACACCCCTTTCAAAAGCTAAGCTAGGCTAAGTANAATGTGTTCAGTCAACCATAAAAGTGTGTGCACACTTTTCCACGTGTACACCCCTTTCAAAAGCTAAGCTAGGCTAAGTAAGGTGTTGTTCAAATTGTTAAGGAAATCAATTTGATGAATATTCTTTGCACGTTTTTGTTTTAATATGGCACAAAGACGAACCAGACAACGGTTAAATGACGGTGAAATAAATAGGGGCATCAGAATGCTGAAAGCTAGCATGTCTCACTGTCAGGTTGCAGCAGACCTTGGGGTGTCTCAAAGTGTGGTGGCAAGAATGTGGAATCGTTTCAAAACTAACGGAAGTCCTTCAAGACCGGAGACGTCATGCCGGAGGTCGTTCGAGGGCTACAACACAGCACAAAGACCAATTTTTGCTCATACAGGCACAGCGTCACAGGTTCTAGACTGCCACAGCTTTACGAAATGCTTCTGGTACCCGGGTAGCCACTCAGACAGTTATGAACTGTCTTCGTGATGCTGGTTTAAGGTCACGTAGACTCGGTCCGGATTTACTGCGATGAAATCCTTGATGCCTATGTCAGGCCCTACGCTGGCGCTATCGGCCCTGACTTCATCATTATGGATAATGCTAATGCTAATAATGCTAGGCCACATAGAGCAAAGGCGACTGAGCAGTATCTACAGCAAGAGACCATTCAACGAGCTTTGTTCAATTTAAGTTTTTTAGTGAATACCTCGTTGTTACCAATTTTAAGGGTAACCCTTTTCCAGTGGCTCATTTTCTGACTGTAATTACGATTTTTGGAATTTTTGCATGCTGATGTATTAAAAGAACAATCAATTTTTCAAAAACAATCTCAGTATAAACCAAATAAAATAAATATTTTTGCATATGCCCAAAATTAAAAGCGATCCTTAGCAAAATATGAGTAGTATATTAATCACAGTGGGCTCTTCTAACTAATTGGAAGGGGATAGAGAGGCGTTGATATTTGATAATATATAGGTGGATGGGTCGAAAATATTTGTTTAACATTTGCCTTGTGGATCAATGATAAAGTAAGTGTAGTGCATTGTCACAAAAATATCCTTACTGCCCCCACGTCCACCCCCAGCTCCCATTCATGAGTTTTTGGAATACCTCTAAATCAGTAATTCCATACCTGGCATTGATTTCCTCCGCCTGTTTCATAACTTTCTCACATTCTTGTGAGAAGTCCGGGAGCTTCTGCAGCATGGCACCAACATGTTTTTCTATGATTTGAAACTGAAATGAAAATAAAATTCATTCTTGCTCAAAACATAAATGAAATCTCAGGGGGTGATTAAAATTCAATTCAATGACAAGTTTAACAGAGAGTGCCTACTACTTGACAAGCAGAGGGAGATAAAATATTGTCTAATATTTGTTTTATAGTTAATCTAAATTGAGTAGTACCTTTCTTTATAAATCAGTTCATGTAACTATAGACAATAAATACAATTGTTTGCAATATTCAATATATGGTAAAACATGCTTTCTACAACTGTGCTTTAAGAACAGAGGCAACTTAGCTCTTATAGAATGGAGAAATACTTTACCGAGACTGCCACTGTACTATTGATACTAGTGATTCATCAAGATCACTAATGTAAGCGCCCTGAACAGGAAGGACAAGTGAGATGTCTCAAGCTTCCAGTCAATGTGTTTTTATTTTATCAATCATTTCCAAAAGATATTTTAGAATTCAATTTCTACAAAACAAATACTTAAGATACAAGACACACTTAAGATCACAAAAAGTTTTTTTCTTTCTGCTTTTTTTTTTTTGAACAGTACCAAAAGTTATTTTCTAAATCTTGATACAAAGTTGTATAATACCTGTAGCAGAAAAATTTCTATCTAATAATATAAAGTGATTTTTCAAGTAGTTAGTCAATGTTGCTTAGACCAATTATTGGTATCTAATATCTACAGAATATTTGTCAAAGTCATGATGAATTTAATGTTATGTATTATAATATCTAAGTAATTACATCTTCAAATATTTCCCGGGAACATTCCGCTGTCTGGATAAAAGTTTTGTAGTGTTGGAAAGCTAAGTGCTGAGTTTCTTGTAGAATCTGGGACTTTGTTTCAGACAAACGGTCTGGCTCTTGAGCTGAAACAATCAAATCAAAGATATTTTTTTTAAATTGAATCACAGATTGACGATAAAATAATCATGCAGCTGATTTCACTGAAACTTTGCAATCTATCTGTTTTTCTTTTCATACATGTAAGTCTAATAAAAGTTATGATTTTTGTATTTTAAATTTCATTTTCTTTTACTCAACCTTTGCCTGATGATGACATGCAGAATGTAGATATAACAGGTTTTCAAATTAAATTACCAATATCTCATGTCTCAGTTTAAATTGAATCATGTATCTATTTTACTACACTTACTTTTGCAGACTTTTCATAATGATAATTGTAAAGCCTTGTACTTTTACATACCTAGTTTGTCAACTCCATATGAGCTCAGCTCTGACAAATACTGTACAAATTCAGGATTATCATTCCAGCTTTCTGTCATAACAAATAAAATATACAAATATATTTATCATCATGAAAAAAATCATAATACATATTCAATGTTGTATGGCAGAATGCAATTTTTCAATTTGATTAAGTAAGTGAAAGAATCTACCAATACAAAATTTAACTAAGACATTTTAATTCGATTAATTTTCAATCGAAAACTTTTGGTTTATGTTTAACAAAATTGGCAATTATCAAAATTGGTGGTAGAAACCTTGTATAGAAGAAATGACAGTATGATGAACACAAATCAAAGGCTTCAATTTGCCTAATGTGATATTGCATAGGTGTTAGAAATTCCAACTGTATATTGAGATAAAAGTCATATATAAAAAAAATAAGAGTATTACTATACAAAAGTACAGTACCTTATTTTTTAAATGATTTTTATCTCAATTTACAGTCAGAATTTCAAACTCCTATGGATATTTATTGCTTCCATAATTATTTTTGTTTGTTCAAAATATTCCAACTTTAGCACAAGAATCTGATTAGACCACATTCATTTTAATAACGCGATCCAAATGGTTGGACCAGAGTTGTGCATTCATGAAAAAAGGTCGGGCCAGAGTCACTTTCATTTAATCACTATCCAAACGATTGGGCCGGTTAGACCAGATTTGTTCGTTTATGAAATAAGGTCGGACCTAGTAATCAGGTACTGGAGCACCGGCAAATCTGGCTATATAGGCAGATTTGGCTTTAGAGTCAAATATGACTATATGTACATAAGACGAATGAAGCACTGGATAGACAAACCGGACGACCCGGTCGCTAGATCTGTAGATGGTTCACCACACAAATTGATTGGTGTGTAAGACTAGAATGTGAGGTGCATTATAACTGTGCAATCATAATTCGATTCAATATTCTTCCTTCGCTTTGTGTGTATGTTTTATAAAATCAAAGCAACAATTAACCTGGAAACGAGTCTTTGAACATTGAAGTCAAAATATTTTCATCTTCCACGTCAATATTCGCCATCTTGTTTATTGAAGGTGATCACGGTCTCCAAGACGTTTCACGCGACTGAGGGAGGATTAATTAACGTCTGGTAAGAATATAACGTCACGGAGAATAAACCTACGTTAGACCTAAATAAAATGTGTCTGTACACCTCTAGAGACAAAATAACCCTTTAAAATGACATATTTTGAGTTGGTCTTTCAGATATTGTCATTAGATCTTTCACCGGTTGGAAATTTAAGGGTCCAAAATCGAGAGTCTCCCTCCTTAATAGGGAGGGTTAGCAAATATGCATAGCAGCTCTATATAACACAATATATAACGTTAACACATTTACGGGCAAACTAGGGTGAGGTAAAGACGTATATACTATAGGCCTATGGCTTTATATGTCTCTGGGTGAGGGTACCCAAAATGGAACACTTTTACTCTCAATCAATATTTTTTATATATGTTTTTTGCATTTTGAGCAAATTTCATCTTCCTCCTCTGAAACATTGCCCATAAACTCAATTGAAATATTAAAATAATGAAATGAAAAAAAGGCCCGGGAAACGATACGGTGCGACAACATAAATATCATTTCTTATTTCTAAATATGGAAAACTACATGTTCAAACAATTATTTTAGGGTTCAAATGACTAAAATTTGTCAGAAATTCTCAAAACCTTTTTTATAGTAAAGATAATTATTTCAAATGCTGTCAGTTATGTCATCAACTGACACACGCGCTGTTGATACCCAAGAAATACAGAAAATGAAGACTAAATGCATTTATTGATTTATTACAGTAAAAAAGTTCGTCTTACAGAACTTTATAGGAAATATTAATATTTCCTTTAATGTTTAGTGTTCCATTTTGGATAAACTCACCTTATATTGAACTATTATTAACCATAATATGCTGTTATTTAATTCAAGCAGTTGATGAAAAAGGCTAAATATATGAAGTTTGCATAATGCGGCTTACAAACACAAAAATAGAATGAGCTGACAAGAGTTCTTCCCCTTGCACTGTTGATCCATCATGCTCTCAGGTTTCAAACGCAGAATCGGGGCGGGTCCAGGTGAGGGCGTAAGTAATGGGCGTACGGCGTCTGGTTACTTCATAATTTGATGGTAAATTGTTGAAATCCAGGAGCTTCTGAGCTTCCCCATGGACCCTCTACCAGGGCAACCGTAATTACGCCTCCCGTTCATAAAATCCTGGCCTAGGACTATTGAAATGTTAAGTAACGCCTTATACCCTAGAATTTGGAATTTCTCGTTATTGGTCTACTGCTGTTAAGATCCATCCAATCATTTTAATATACCATAGACAATTAATGGAGAGAATTCGGCATAAAAAATGTCAAACCCTGACACTTTAACTATAAAATATACATGCTCCAAGTCAGGAACCGTTACATTAGTGCATTTCACAATTATTTTATGTTTTTTAGCAAA